ATAAAGAACTTATTAAACTCAACACCAAAGAAACAAACAATCCAATCATGAAGTGGCAAAAGACATGAAGAGAAATCTCACAGAGGAAGACATAGACATGGCCAACATGCACATGAGAAAATGCTCTGCATCACTTGCCATCAGGGAAATACAAATCAAAACCACAATGAGATACCACCTCACACCAGTGAGAATGGGGAACATTAACAAGGCAGGAAACCACAAATGTTGGAGAGGATGTGGAGAAAAGGGAACCCTCTTACACTGTTGGTGGGAATGTGAACTGGTGCAGCCACTCTGGAAAACTCTGTGGAGGTTCCTCAAAGAGTTAAAAATAGACCTGCCCTATGACCCAGCAATTGCACTGTTGGGGATTTACCCCAAAGATACAGATGCAATGAAACGCCGGGACACCTGCACCCCGATGTTTCTAGCAGCTTGTCCACAATAGCCAAACTGTGGAAGGAGCCTCGGTGTCCATCGAAAGATGAATGGATAAAGAAGATGTGGTCTATGTATACAATGGAATATTACTCAGCCATTAGAAAGGACAAATACCCACCATTTTCTTCAACGTGGATGGAACTGGAGGGTATTATGCTGAGTGAAGTAAGTCAATCGGAGAAGGACAAACATCATATGGTCTCATTCTTTGGGGAATATAAATAATAGTGAAAGGGAATAGAAGGGAAGGGAGAAGAAATGGGTGGGAAATGTCAGAAAGGGAGACAGAACATGAAGACTCCTAACTCTGGGAACTTGGGCTGGTGGAAGAGGAGGGTTAAATGGGTGGGGGGTGGGAGGTGGGGGCAAATGGATGGGTGACGGGCACTGAGGGGGCACTTGATGGGATTAGCACTTGGTGTTATTCTTATGTTGGCAAATTGAACACCAATAAAAAATAAATTTATTAATAAAAAATTAAAAAATAATAGCCAACACTTACACAGCCTCTACTATGGCTCCCCCTGACCACTGTGTGAGGGGCTTTCTACCAATAAGTTTTTCTGATCCTCCCCAAAGCCCTGTGAGGCAAATATCCCAATTTCACATTTCAAATGTTTTCGTCATGGGACACCTGGGTGGCTCAGTGGTTGAGTATCTGCCTTGGGCTCAGGTTGTGATCCCAGGGTCCTGGGATTGAGTCTCCCCACAGGGGGCCTGCTTCTCCCTCTGCCTATGTCTCTGCCTCTGTTTCTCATGAATAAATAAATAAAATGTTTTTTTTTAAATAAAGGAAAGGGGGTATCTATAATAATCAATAATATATTGAAACCATACACACGCCAAAAAAATTACCCCTTAGAAACGGTGGTAGGCATGGCTTTTACTCAGCAATATGCAGATCTCCTTCCCTTTTTCGGGTATATGGGGACTACAGTGACTAGTGGTGGCCAGTAAAACTACCAGGAAATGAGGTAAATGCATAGGGAAGACTCTCCAGCAGCCCCACCTGCCTGCCGTTGTGTTGGTCCTGGAAGCGGACGCTTGACCAGATGGTGGTTCTACACTCTCAGGGCAGCAGCCCATATTGTTGAATGACTGCTTGGAGAGTCTCCCGGACTCAGGATGAACTTGGAGTGAACGAGAAATAACTTAGGTCCCTCTGAGATACTAGAGTGATTTGCTACTACAGCATGGCCTAGATTATCTTGACTTAAACAGAAATACACTTGTTCTTCTCTCATGGGCTACCTTTCCACAGCTTCAGATAAGTTCTAGTAAAATGGTGACCTTCAACTGCATAGGTTACTCATGCACAATGCTAGGGCTACTCTCTTAGGCAGTTCTGAAAGGCTGGGAAGAATTGGGCCATGGAGGCCAAGTGCCTGCCTTACCATTTTGGCCTGGCCACTTCCTGGTTCTACCATCTTGGGCAGCACAGCACCACTCTGGTGCCATAGTTTCACTTGCAAATGTAGATAATAACAGTGTCTAAGACATTGGGTTACTACAAGGGAAAATGGTGTTATGAGGGAACAATAATACATATAAAACATGATGAAGAATGTTTGGCACAAAGTGAGCCTTGACAAGGGTTAGATATCACGTCTTGTCAATATCAACCCTAAACCACTCCAGGGCCCATGGCTGGTTTATTTAGCCAGCCCAAAATCCCCTTCAGTGGTTAAAAGAATTGACAACTACGTTATCAAACAGTGGAAAATTGTATCTGTAGTCTAGTAAAAGGATGGAAAATTTTTTATTAAAGAGAGCTCTAATGCACTGGTTCTTTGGTGGTTCCCTAGAATGGATCAATTGCTATTTTTAACTTTAGGGTCAATATTAAATAGTTGAAATTCACAAATGAAATACCAGGAATGAAAGTGACACATTCAGGGTCAAATGGCATTAATACTATGAAATCAGAACCTCTTAGGCAAAGATACCAAAATAATAGACAGCCTTTGAACTTAGAGAAAAAAAAAAAGAAAGGTGAAGCTGCTGGTATAATCCACACGAAAATGAGGCTGGCATTATTCAGCAGCTCATTCACTTTAGACGGTTGCTAAATTGCCTGAAATCCCTTTTATATTCTGCAAAGATCAAACATATTAAGACTGTCAAAATAACATTAGGTAACCCCTTTCAAGCGTCAAAATAACTGCTCAGAATAAAAGAAAGATTTGCAAAGTTCAGGGTTATGAAGAACCTAATTAAATAGTGATGTTATGTGGGGAAATTATGGGGAGTCAAGCTGGCATAAAATGCTAGCTCAGTCACTTACTAAGGGGTTGATTTTGGCAAAATATTGAAACTGAGGTCCTGGATTCCTTCACTTGTGAATCAGGGTAAAGTCATCTATTTTATACATTCATATGAGAACTTAGAGAACCTTTAATGTATGTAGTTTCAGAAAACAGTTGATAGTGTTACCTTACCTAACTCTGATCAATCTAGAAGTCAAAATTATACGCAATATTTTCTCCTTATTTTTCCATGGCACTTACTCAAGTGTCTACCCCATGTTGATTTAACTACATTTTAGAGAGAGGGTTATTTGCAGAGCTTCTTTATGTTCCACTTTAGTTTTTCCTAAAAAGCCTGGAATGATAGACTCAAGTGCTTCCAAGGAAATGACACCCTACATAATTGCTGCTTCACAATGATGTGGCTAACTACAGTTTTATGTTCAACACCGCTGTGTGCCTTAATGGTAGTATTACATCTGTCATTATTTCAAGATCAGGCAACCTGAACGATTCGAAAACTCTAAAATGTTTAGTCTAAACATTTAAATACACTGTCACAGTTACAAATTGACCTGAAAAATGTCATATGATTTGGTGATAGTGTCTACTAATTGTCAGATTCTGTGCACTTTATCTAATTATGTGATATGGTTTTTTTGATGATACGAGTTTTTAATGGAACTTCATTGCTCATGAATCATTTCCTCACTTAGAACTCATCGGTATGTACAAAGTACATTACACTGCTATCCCCTACTACATATTTCAGTGTACATTAGAGCAAAATGTGCTATCAACAGAGAATCAGGAGAAACTGAATTGGGACAATTATAAGACTTGACATCTCATCATTGCATATATATTTATATTCCATGGAAAAAGTTCAGTCAAGGCAGTGATTCATGACTTGATTATATCACTCCCAGTGCAAATACATGTGGAGCTACTCAGGCTTTTCTTCATGGAGCATCCAAAAAGAACTATAATTAGAATCTGTAGATAAAAGGTCTTGCATAGTTTCATAGATGGTATGTAGCTGCTGCTCTTGGTAATGCTAAAAGCAACTGCTGATTTGTCCAAAGAAAGTTTTATAATACAGTGTCCTATTCCTTTATTCATTAAATAATTAGATACAGGCATAATTCAAACACAAGATTTTTTAGGTTAATTAAACCACTTCAGTTAATACCACTTATTTTTTTCCTAGAATAATGTGAAGCTAATGAGGGAAGGTATGAATATAATAATAACAAATTGGAAGAGTGGGAAATTTTGCACGCTCTGTATTTTTGAGCAGATATTTTAAGTTTAGCTTCAGCATAACCTAAAAAAATATCAGTTTTATCTCCTTCTATAACTGCTATAACTACTGGGGGATGGAAGAGAACTTTGGTCAATTTTTATTTCCTTTTCACCTTTCATCTGATGTATCTCATCAGATGAGATACAATAACCTCCCATTCCCAAAATGGGATAATTGTTTAAACTAGTAAGAGAAACCCTTTCCTGTTCCAACTTAATAGATGCTACTTAAAAAAAAAACAAAAAACAAAAACATTTTTTTACCCTTTGCTCTGAGTTAATGTTGCCATGAGCAGCATTACCCTTGTACATTTTGTATAGCAATATCGCCTTCAAAAGAGGATGGAGGCTAACTCGGGGGGTATGTACTCTGCAAGGGAATGAAAGTCAAGTGCACACTGGGGGAAAGAACAGCCCTGGAGGGTTTGAAGAAAGCATTTTTGCTTTGGGATCTTCAGGAAGAGCAACTTTTTGCCATGTTTTGTGATGATTAAATGGATGATGGGCAGAGCCTGTACTACAGAATTTAAATTTTGAAAGCAATGTTGGCTCATGGAAGAAATGGCACTGCCACTTATGATACTTTAATTATACCTTTATTATGATGCCCTATGTTAGTTGTTTCCCATGTTTTACAAGTTTATATCTATTTAAAGACATAAGTTCCAGTGAATGATGCAAAATGATCAGTTGGGGAAAAACAAAAACAAAACAAACCCCATTGGCCCAATATATTTCACACCTTAAAGGAAAAAAATGAAATAACATATGGAATAAATAAACCCAAAAGAAAGTCCCAACACGGGTATAATCTAACATTTAATGCTGAATATTTAATAAACTGTAATAAGGGAAGGTCAACACCTCTTACCTTTTTTTTAAGGTTGGGATTTAACTTGGCCTTCTATACCAAAAGTTACTTATAAATATGTTGACTGAGAACATATTTGTGTTGTCATTTTGGCAATGTCACCAAATTCACTTAAAAAGATGGTTTTTCACAGGATACCTTTGTCTATACTTTGAGAAACAGATTAATTTGAACCTCACAGGTTGTGGCTAAGCACCTGGCTCAATATCCTTCTTGGATCAGCTTGAATTAGCTTATTCAACTTACTTCATTGCAATTAAGTTATCTACTCTGCGAATGATTTGTGGTTTCTAGGAAGCTCTTTTTTTTTTTTTTTTCTAGGAAGCTCTTACCTTGAGATCCAGACTGGCCCCCAGATTGACAGAGGTCAGCATTTCAAATGAAAAGCTAATTATTAGGTCATGGTACCTGGTTATGGAAGGAAGATGAGCTGAAGGGAGAAAGCTACATGTCTTCAAAGACTATTTATAATACCAATATGGTCTAACACTGCATGCACATTTGAAAGGAAGTAATTATTAAAATCTAGGAAGATGATAAAAGCTGGGTTTATTTATATCAAGCCTAAACGAGTGCATGAAAAAGTTAAGAATATATTAGTTTGGTATTCGGGAAGTCAATTCTGTGTTTACTTGGGTCAGATTTATTAAACATACTTATCACACTATTAATTTATCTATTTTAGATTATAGCCTTTTTTTATTATTGGTCTTATGTTCTGTAACTTCCTGAAAAACATGGATGTTTTGTGCTTGCATTATCTTCATGGCCAATATACAAAGGAATGAAAATCATGCTGAGTAAATTTGTAACATGACATCCTCTATTTTTTTACTTATTTAATTGTTCCTTCAAAAAGTAATGCCTACTTTCTGTTATTCTGCCTAAGGTACATTAGCATCTTTTAATAGGAAGTTGTTGAAAACAGTATTCCAGATTACCATGATATGGCTTGAAAAAGCAACAAAGAAATATGACTAGGTCCCTGTTAGCAACAAAAATGAAAGTTTTGAGATCAAAAGCCAAATAGTCCAAAAGATTACAGTATTCTTTATTATGCTGCACAATAAACCAATTTCACCAAAGATAACTCCCTCTACTCCTGCCACTTAATGGACAACTTTTGTTCAGGTGTGCACCTATCAATCATGATTCTAGGATGGATAAACTAATTTCTAGTTCCAGGGCAAAATATCCAATCATTCCAAAGCATAGTAGTTGGGAAGTGAACTTGAACTTGGGTGGGTTATTACATAAGTTAGCAAGTTAGGTTTAAGAGAAGGCCCTTTGTAAGATGTCAGGAGGAAAGGATTTCTCCTCTTCCTTCTATAAATGACAAGGACCCCTGGGATGCTTCAACTGTGAGGGGAAACAACATTAAGGCTGGTACTTAAAACATTCTATTCCAGAAGCATCTTTATTTTCTTCTGGGATTCTCTTATAAATAGGGATTCCCTTGGGGAGGCAGAGGACTTGCTGATGCAGGGGGCAAATCATCCCACTGCTTTAATGTCCTGGTTTATGGTGTGTCCAGGAGGGATGCTGAGTGTGAGGAGGACCTAAAGGGCTTGGCCATATACTGTGTCAATGAGACACTTAATATAGGGTCTTGGGGTGGGGTACCACAATACATAATATGAAAATGTGTAAAGCACTACTTATGATCTGATTAGGATGTTTAATTTGGAAAAGTCTGCCATATACTCACTGTAATCTTCAAACTCTGTCAGAATAGCTATCCATTTTGATGACTATTAACATGGGATTAAATGAAGAAGCACGGCTGCATTTTAGTTCTGAGGAACATTTGCTTTTGCCATTATGTACTGTTGTTTATTGACATATGATATTTCCACAGACAAAATCTTTCATTACATATATAGCTGAACATAGAATCATAATTGTATAGTATAGAAAATAAACTTTCTGGTATTGTTCTTGGCATTTCATGATGTAAAACTAGTGACAAACATCTTTAGAAAAAATAATAAAATAGTCCTTCTGTATTAAAATTTCTTCCTTAAAAAGCATCTGGTCAAAGTGAGAAGGATGACATGTTATTAATGCATAGATGAGTTAGGCATGAATAAAATGAATCTAATCCCGTCTGTGAAAGTAAATGAAACTATTTGAAATCTACAGGTCACTGTTTATCCTAGGTCAGTTGAAAAAAAAAAAAAAACATAGGCAGCTTTTTCATGGTTCTGTGGTTTCTGATGACGCAACTTGTTAAATACCGCATTACCCGGCATATAAACAATATACTGCATACTTACCAGGTGGTTTTTATGCCACTTTGCTGAATGCAGGATTAATATATTTGGGATTTTTTTATTGCTTGAGTAGAAAGTGCTCATTACTTATTATTTTATGTTTATAATATAGAAATTAAAAAAAAACAAAAATCAATGAAAAGGTTTTGGAAATGGCATACATCACACTGTTGTAGTGGTCGATTTCCTCAAGATGGTCTTCTGTGGTTTTGGTGCAGTGGGAGGAGGCACAGTTGCAGGTCTGAGAGGGGGGAAGCTGTTACTGTGGCTTATTCCCAGTCCCCCGTTTTCCAGCGGAAAAGGAGGGAGATGGGGTGGAGGAGGGAGGGGAGGGCCGGGGTGCGGGAGCTTTCCCGGTGGGTGGACAGGTTCGCGGTGTAAATGGACCTCCCTGTTTTTTACATTATACCGGGCATCACAGTCGGGACAATAGCCATGGTACTGCACTTTCTCATTAAACCGAACCCGTTCTCGGGACCCTGCCTGGGGACACCTGTCTTTTTCAGGTCTGTGCATCAGAGGCTGCATTGGAGCCTTGTCCAAGCCACCAGTGGGGATGCAGCAGATGTCTCCGTTTGGAATTTTGTTCGGTGCTAGGGGTAAGCCTCCGTTTCGCAGAAGGGTGCCATTAGTCTTCACAGGATTGACAGTCGGCACCACTCTTTGGGCGTCTTCACACTTCACAGGTGTCAACCGTGGGGGCGGCGGCGGGGGGTTTGGTTTTCTCAGGACCGTGAGGATGGCAGACGGGTGGGCGGGGGGTTTAATGAGGGGTGCGTTGGCCTGCACTTTGATCTTCTCTATGCTGGAGGCTGTGGTGCCGCTTGAGCTACTATTCAGGGTGTCCGTTTTGGAGCTGTCGGTCATCTCATCCTCCAGCTGTAGGTCAGAGGTCAGGGTATCAATCTGGTCAACCACCTGGTGGAAAGGACAAGGTAACTGTGTTGAACAATGACCTAAAGCCAAGCATACTAGAAACAATGTCTCCCTGTCCAGCTGGAAATCTGCTCCAGGAGCCTTAATACACTAATACTACATTGTGTATTCCAATTTTTTTTAATATTGTATTTATTTATTTGAGAGAGAGAGAGACCACAAGCACAAATGGGGTACGGGCAGAGGGAGAAGCAGATTCCCCGATTCCCTGCTGAGCAGGGAGCCCAATGCTGAGCTCAATCCCAGGATCTTGAGATCATGACCAAGCCCAAGGCAGACACTTAACTGACTGAGCCACCCAGGTGCCCCTGTGTATTCCAATGTTGCATAATATTTACATTCAGTGAATTTACAGAACAGCCTCCATAGGCATGTCGACTGTTTGACAACCTAATGATTTCATGTATCTAGAATATAATGGATGATTTATGCACACATTTTATTCCCGGCTCTGCTGAACTCACCAAAGATAAAAGCCTGATGCAGAAACATAACTGATTTGTAAAAACAAGAGGCGGGGACTTTCTCTCTGCTCAGCATGTCGAAAGCTACAGAGGAACATTAATCTCATGCTAAGAAGGAGAAAAGCCAGATACTCTGCAAAATCCTAACTTTTCTTGAGACCATCGGAGAATGGAGATCACAAGGACACCCACCGAGATGAGCTGCAAAAAGTCTCCAGCCCTCTGAGGATAGAAAGGACACATCAACTGTTTCACCTCTGGCAAATCAGAAGGAAGAGGCAGCCTCCACCAAAATGAAGAAAGGAAAAAGCTACAATTTTAATGAATAATTAAAGGTGAAGTATATGCAATCCTGACAATTTAGAGTCCCCAGGAACCCAGACACAATGTGGTCTGTCCTCACTCATTGTCTCTGTTCCATGGGCCTCTCCTGTTGGGGGCTGAGGGCAGGGCAGGGGACGGAATGAATGAGCTCGCCCTGAGGGAACACAGGCATAAAACCCCAGGGACTTCCCAGACCTTCGTCCCACATAAAACAGAACACCAAAGCATTGAGGGAATGGCAGAAACCCCTGTGACACCTAACACACAGGCAGAAAACTCTCTTGGTCCAAGAACTTGCACTCTAGATGGGTGCCATCACTTGCAAGGAGAGATCCAAGTTGCAGCATCTCAAGACCTGCCACAGACACAGGGCAGAGGCAGAGAATCAAATGTGGCCCGCAGAGCCACCAGACCATGATGGAGGTTTGACTCAAATGAAGAGAATGGATGTGAAGGAGCAGATGTGCCTGAGGAGTCATGGTGCTAAAGCCACTCATGGAAGGAATCTGTCATCACCCCTACGAGGCTTGCCTGAGGGTCTCTATCCTGTTCAGTCATTGTCTGGAGGCAGTAGCTTCTGGAAGAACAGCCTTGGCCCAAATGCTGGGCATCAGAACATGGTCATTCACTCTCTCTCAGAGATCTTGGAGACCATTCTCACGGTTGCCATAAATGCACGATTACCCATAAATAAAGATGGAAAGGTTACAGATTACTTTTAAAATAATTTATTTATATATGGAGATAGTCTTTTCATTTCACGTTTCCATATGCACATTTTTCTCTTATTCAGGCCTCTGTTCAACTGTGAAGTTGGCTCTTTGACACACAGTGGCAGAACTGGGCTCCAGATGAAAATCTCGTAAGCAGCCAGAACTTAGGGAGGATGTAGAGATTCTACTTCTTCCTCAGGTGGGTCTTAAGTGATTGCTTCACACTACTGTCACTAGAGCTCAGCCTTCTATTTTTTAGCTCCTAAATATATATCAAACCACTTCTCTGCATTTTCATTTCTTTGGTCCTAGTCGGAGCCACAAATATTTACCACGCCCCCCTCCCAAGTCACAAGGCTTCCTCTTTCATTTCTGTAGCATCAGTGATTTTTTAAAATAGAAATGAGCTCCTGTCAACGCCCTGCTTAAAATCTTTCAATGCCTGTTCATTTCTCCTGTGATAAAGATCAATTCTTATCACTGTCTCCCAGGTCGTGTACAGTTTCGCTCAGTGCTGTGCTGGTAAATGTTTAACAGCTGGTTCTTAGAGGTCTAGGGGAGTTTTAAATATAACAGCCTGCCAATTTCCTTGGTGTAAATTCCTACTTGATCAATTTCGAGTTAGTAAATGTGACATCACTGCCTGTGAGGTTGGAAAGAAATGTTCAGTGGCATAGCAATATGAGGTGTTTCTACCATGCCAATAGAATAGGCAAAAAATAAACTCAGGAGCACAATAGTAAAATGTGTTGACTACATTTTACTATTAAGAATGTAATTAAGAATGATTAAGAATAATTAGAAAACCTTTGTATTTGGGCACCTGGATGGCTCAGTGGTTGAGTACCTGCCTTTGGTTCAGGTCGTGATCCTGGGGTCTAGGGATCGAGTCCAGCATCTGGCTCCCTGTGGGGAGCCTGCTTCTCCCTCTGCCTATGTCTTTGCCTTTCTCTCTGTGTCTCTCATGAATAATAACTAAAATTTTTTTTTAAAAGAAAGCAAAACATTTACATTTAACATAATTACTTAATATATTAAATGTTTTATTGGTTATATAATTTATTATCTCAAAAACACAATTTTATTAATATATTAAATAATAAATATGTATAATATAAAATATATTTTTAGATTCAATTTAATTTTATTTAAATTCAAGTAGTCTACATAGGGTGTGTATTATTAGTTTCAGAGGTAGAGTTCAGTGATTCTATACTTTTGTTTTTAATAATGGTTATTTAGTGGCTGGCTCACACAAAATTTCTGAAAATAGAACAATTGGCCCTTATTAGCCAGTACAAGTCAGCATGTCACAGTTTCTCCTTAAATGGCTCTCCATTCTCAACTCTAATAAAATTTCCTTTTCTTTCATTCTCAAATCTCTTGGGTCTTCTTATAGACCCTTATCATTGTCAATCTGCTTCCTACCATAAGACATTTGCACATACTAATTTTTCTCCTTGAAGTGCTCTTACCTCTCCCCTTTGTCGAATTAAAATCTTAGCTCAGGAGTTAGTCATGATGTTAGCCTTCCCTATCGTCCTGCAATTTCCCATGTAGGTCATGTGAATTTGTTAAGGTCACAGGGAACTTTATTTTTTTCATTCAAAGCATTCACATACTTTTTTACTATTTAGTTACTGGTAGGAGTACAGGAATATGGAATAGTCTTTCTTCTCTATACTCTAACTTCAGTGATAACAGTATCTATGCTGGTTTTTTTATTAGTGTGACCTAAAGTTCTAATGCAGTGAATGGCACTCAAAAGCATCTCAATAAATATTTGTTAAATAAAGGCACTGAAGGTTATTTCTTTAGTTCAGAAATGAATGAAAACATGTTCTTTCTCATTTGATTTTTGAAGTTGTTACTTTTAAAAGTCACATCTGCTCAGTTATTCTGGAATAAAATAGGCGAAAGGGATTTATCAGAAATGATCCAGAGGTGGTGGCACTTTCTGCAGCTCTGGCTCAGACATCCCAGAAATTAAAATGGGAGGACACTGAATGAATGTGAAACACAGGGGGAGTCCCGACTCAAAGGTACTGTATACTATTTAACCCAGAAAGATCTTGACCCTGAGCTGTCTATTGTATTAAGTATCTGCAGAGAAAGAAAGAGAGCTGGTCTACTCTAGGAAGTGAAGCTGCTGGTCAGAGACGAATCAGTATTGCCTGAGTCTCTCATAGTTCTAGAGCTTCTGGCTGGTTTTAGTTTCCACGTGGTTATTTCCCGAATGCGTACAAAATGCCAACAAGAATAAAAAAACTAAAACAGACAAAATACAGTTGACTCTTGAACAATAAAAGTCTTAGGGTGCCACTTCCACTGTGCAGCCAAAGATTTGCATCTGTTGGATCCCCAAAACTTAACTACTAAGAGCTACTAGCCTACTGTTGGTTGGAAGCCTTATTGATAACATAAACAGTTAATTAATACATATTGTGTATATTATATGCATTATATACTGTATTCCTACAACAAAGGGAAGAAAATGTTATTAAGGAAATCATAAGGAAGATAAAATACATTTACAGTAGTGTACTGTATTTTTTGAAACAAATCTGCATATAAGTGGATGTACAGGGTTCAAACCTGTGGACTTAAGGATCAACTGTTCTGCTTTCATGGAGGAGGGAATCTCATAGAAGCACCTGGCATTAATTAGATACTCAAATAATTGTAAAAGTACTCATGCTCCAGGAGCTCTGAATGACAGACCATGGTACTGTAAGAGGAGGGGCACCTGTGTGGCTCAGTGGTTAAGCGGCTGCCTTTGGCTCAGGGCATGATCCTGAGGTCCCGCTTTGGGCTCCCTGTGGGGCTAGAGCCCTCTGTCTCTGCCTCTCTGTCTCTCATGAATAAATAAAATCTTTTTTTTTAAAAGATTTTTAAATAGGAGAGGAGATAAAACCCCCATCAGAAAAGTCAGTGAAGCCCACCCAAAGGATGAGTGGCTGTTAACTGGCTAAGAGAAAAGAAATTCCAGAAGGCCACTGAGGAAAGAGCCTGATGATAAAGGTACTCTGACAGGAGAGAGGGCCTTAGTGTGAGCCATATAAAGAAGATTCTAGGCTGAAGAGCACCATGAGAGGTGAGGCTGGAGAGTCACTGAGCAGCCAGGCTGCTGGGGTCCCTACTAGGTGCTGAGCAAGCACCCCATAGTTTTAAGGAGTTCCAGAAGTGAGAGACACAATGTTTAAACAGATGATGAACTGCTGTTTTTCAGAATGGAAGCATCGTCTAATGAGAGAATACACGTCGCTGAAAATAGGAAAATACAAACAAACCCATGTGCTGACATACTGTAGAACATACACAGAACAAGGAAAAGTGTAGGTGCCAAGGGTAGGCTGCCCAAAATACCACAAAGGCATATTATTTTGTGTTAAAGGTACTCGGGACCCAGCTGGTACAAGGACACTCAGACCCTCCTTGGTCCCCCTGAAAACAAGATATAAATCTTCTGTATAAAAGGTAC